GAAGGAAGATATTTATTTGTGGAAATAAATTTAAATGGAAGAAAGTGCTTAATAATAGGGGTTTATGCCCCCAATCAACTTGCAGCTCAAAAGCAATTTTATAGACAATTACATCAGAAAATTGTGGCGATGGACTATAACTCTTTGATTGTTATGGGAGACTGGAATGGAGTTCTGGATACGTTAAAAGATAAAAAAACAACTTCCAAGGATGTAACCCTTTCCAGATTACCTAAGTCCTTTTTTGCTATGAAAGATGATTTAGAATTGGTGGACGCTTGGAGATCACAACATATTAATGAACGTGACTTTACTTTTTTTTCTCATAGACATGACTCCTTCTCAAGGATTGACTTTGTCTTGACATCGACTGACCTGCTTACTGACTGTAATAAAACTAAAATTTTTCCCAGAACTTTGACTGATCATAGTATGGTGTGGATAGAGATTGGTCAAAAAAGAAAGAGATTATAATGTAATTATTCCACGTGCGCAGTCCGTTGATTCTTTGCCTAGTCTTATGAACAACAAAATCATTGGTTTTATTTCTGGATGGGAGATTATATATAAAGTCACAGTATTGCAGACTTTGATAATCCCTGTTGTAACATAATACTGTTATATAAATATATACTGTCAATTAAATTTAGCACACCTTTCCCCAATATTAGCAGAAAAGAGATTTCATAATACAGCCACTTTGTGTGTATTTACGCATTGCCATTTAGTTCCATAAAACCTACATATATATCTGGGTATTGATAGTTTTGTAAAAGGAATGTATTATTTGTATATGAAGTTTCTCATTAAAGACATTCTCTACATAAAACTATGATTCATAGTAAAATCATACTGGAAAATATTTTGACAGTGAACAACCTTGAATCAAGCTATATACCATAATGTTGTTTTTTTTTAATTTTAGTTTAGTGTGTTCCTGGAAACCTGGATACTCTAGTTGATGAATCATGGATTCTGGCTTCGTAAGTTGTAAAAACTGTCAGAATTAGGATCTATTAATAAGCTATGGTTAAGCAAAACACAGCTGACTTCAACTGACTCCAAGATCCCATCAAGATCAAACCTTGAAAATTTTGATACCCTCTTTCAATGTCTTCAGAACTAAAGTTGTAATAAAAGAGACAGTGAACGCTTAGCACATCTCTTTGAAAAAAGAAAATTACACAAAGCTAGCTCTGAGTTTCCACCACCAAATGTTCAACCAGACTAGCGTACGCCTCCAACTGATGAAGTGGAATTAGAATTATTTTAATTTCTTACAGCAGCCTTTTCAAGAGTTGCCCGATACGCCACATTAATCTCTTAACTCAACAAAGATGCTGCCTTGTTTGATCCAGAATTTCTTTGAGGTTTTTTTTTTTCCTCCCCAGTAATTGTCTTAACAGATGATTCTTCTCCCTAATCCGTGATTTGATTCTAATAACATTCAGAACCACCTTTACCTGCTCTAAGAAAGTTTTAATCTTTTTCAGGCATCTGCTGAAAACAGTGTTTTTTGATCAGGCAATAAGTGCTTTAGGAATGTATAAATGGCTGGGTTTTCCCCCCCCCCCATGCAAAATGGAACATATATATATACTGTCTGGGATCCCATCCAAGCACTTACATGAGTATTAGCTGAGCCTGCCTTATATTCTTTAAGAGTTATTGAAAGCAAGTCTTACCAATGGTTTCCATCATTAGGAAGAAAAAAAGCAAGATGAGAATTTTGTTTGCTTTTTATGGATTTTCTTTTTTTGTATAGGTTTTATTGATTTTTATGGGGTTAGGAATAAGGTGGGGTCGGTTCATGTATTTAACAAACAATAATAGATACTGGTTAATTATCATAAACAATATGTTAATTAATCACTCAGTAGCCTTCATAATAATAATAATAATAATAATAATAATAATAATAATAATAATAATAATAATAATAATAATAATAATAATAATAATAATAATAATAATAATAAAGTTGGAAGGGACCTTGGAGGTCATCCAGTCCAACACCCTGCTCAGGCAGGTAACCCTATACCATTTCAGACAAATGGCTGTCCAGTCTCTTCTTAAAAACTTCCAGTGTTGGAGCATTCACCGCTTCTGGAGGCAAGTTGTTCCACTGATCAATTGTACTCACTGTCAGGAAGTTTCTCCTTAGTTCTAGGTTGCTTCTCTCCTTGATTAGTTTCCATCCGTTGCTTTTTGTCCTGCCTTCAGACGCCTTGGAAAATAGCTTGACTCCCTCTTCTTTGGGGTAACCCCTGAGATACTGGAAGACTGCTGTCATGTCCCCCCTCATCCTTCTCTTCGTTAAACTAGATAGACCCAATTCCAGCAGCCGTTCCTTCTATGTTTTAGCCTCCAGTCCCCTGATCATCTTTGTTGCTCTTCTCTGCACTCTTTCTAAAGTCTCAACATCCTTTTTACATCGTGGTGACCAAAACTGGATGCAGTATTCCAAGTGTGGCTTTACCAAGGCATTGTAAAGTGGTATTAATACTTCACGTGATCTTGATTCTATCCCTCATAATATATATTCAAAATTACATACCACATTCCTTTCTCTCTAACTCGTCTTTCTAGCCATTGATAGAACTTATCCCATGTTGTACACCGAGTCTTCTTTCTCTTTTATTTTTAAAGTCAATCTATCCATTTCTGCACACTCTAGAATTTTCTTAATTAGTACTTCTTCAGCTGGTAAATTTTTAATTTTTCCAATGTTGGGCAAATACAATTCTTGCTGCCCTTAGTACGTGTAGTATTAAATATCCACAATCTTTCTCATAATTAGCTCCTATTATTCCTACCAAAAATAATTCTGGTTTAAAGTCTATTTGTTTTTGTAGATTTTCTTTTTTTAAAAAAAGCTCGGTTCTGAACATAAGCAACGTGCTAAGTTTTCCAGACCCTGGTGGCGAGATCTAGACCAGCGGTCCCCAATTTTTCTGGCTCCAGGGACTGGCTTCGGAAGGAAAATTGTCTTTCACGGACCGGGGGTGGTGTATGTGTAGGGAATGGTTTGGTATGTGTAACCTAGATGGTGTGCATGTGTAGATGAAACTTCACTCACTCACCTGCCCTTGTACGGCCCGGTTTTTTTTATAAAGATATCTGAACATAATATTTATTTGGTGACTTTACATGTATAAGTCATTTACAAAAAGAATCATATGCAGTTTCAGTGCAGCTTCAAATATCTGAATAACAGGCAAAATTCTGATAATTCGGAATGCTAGTATTAGATCACACATGCTTAATTCTTCGTTGTTTTCAAGAGAAAGTGCCTGTATAGCCATGCAAATAAAAACCCCTTTGAAAATATGATGCACTCATAGCAGGGAAATGGAGACGGAGATGTAGGAAATAAAATTTCAATGCACGCACTGCTTTTTTTAAAAGTACTGAAATTCTAATTTGAACATTGAGCAGTATTATTTGACTTTGCTCAATCATTCCAGTTCAGTCACCATCTTTTAGTAAGTGAAAAAGACAACAATCTTTGGGAGAAGAAATTGTAAGTATATATTTTCTTTTGCATTGGACCGGTACTAGACTGGATACTGACGTTTGGGGACCTCTGACCTAGACTTTTCCACCGATCACAATTTCACAGGGTCGTCCAGCCCAAAGAGTATTAAAGGAAAAAAATATATATGTTTTTTTTTTCCCTTCTGCTTTCAGCTGAATTGAAGGTCCAAGCAGCCATATGTCTAATTAAAAGGAAAAATAAAAGACTTACTGTAGGGTCTTTGCCAGCCATTTTGCACTCATCAACCTTGGCTGTTGATGCTGGCCAGAAAATCTGTGTGGAAAGAAAACGAAATATTTTAAATGAATTACATAATCTTTAATACATATTCAGGGAGGAAGGGATTCGTCTGAGCTGTCCTACTGCCTTTGCACGGTGCCTAAACTCATAAAGTCAATATTGTTGTTCAACTAACTTGCTGGGGAAGTTTTTTTTTTCTTATGAAAAACTTATTTAAGGGACTGAATGCAGCTTTTTTTTTTCTTTTTCCCATCCTCTCTTCTGAAGTACCAATTGAATAACAGAATTATAGAGTTGGAAGGGACCTTGGAGGTCTTCTAGTCCAACCCACTGCTCAAGCAGGAAACCCTATACCATTTCCGACAAACAACATTTCCGACTCGTCGCTCCCACGTAACACCGCTGCTGCGCGAGCTGCATTGGCTGCCGGTGGCCTTCCGGGTGCGCTTCAAGGTGCTGACTATCATCTTTAAGGCGCTCCATGGCAGCGGACCGGGATACCTTCGAGACCGCCTTCTGCCACAGATTACCTCCCATCGGCCTGTACGCTCCCACAGGGTGGGTCTCCTCAGGGTG